CAGGTCCATGATAAGAAAAGTAAGTGCAACACAATGAGTTTTTCACGAAGTTAATTTTATTTATTTTGAAATATGGTCCTTTATTATAATGGTATTCCCTTCCTTCCTTTTAATGTTGAAGTAAATTCTCCCTTTATGAAACAGTGGTGACAGCAGATGGGATCTGTTTTAATGTATGCTTAATGTTTCTAATTTAACAAAATAACAAGATGGAAATCTCTACTCATTTTCTTCCACTAGAGGACAGATTGACTTGAATTGTGATACTGAAGTCTGAGGCCAGCTGCTCCACATTCTGTTCTCTGCATCAAATGTCTTCTGGAAGGTGACTGAGTCAGAGTGCTGGCAGCAAGAACGCCACGGGGTGTAGTCCTGAGGCCTTTAAGGGTGAGGATTTTAGGGGCGGTCCCAGGGGAGGACGTCTGTAGAAGATGCATCACCTTTCCAGGTGTGCCCTTTCAGGATCCTGGTCTCCACCGATTGGTCGGCGCCAGGACAAGGGCTCATTAGTCAATGCAGCTGGTCCTGAGGCCAGCCCTGGCATCACTTACCTCGTTTTGCTTTTTAACTTAAAAAGTGTTTCTGAATTGAAAAGACCAGAGCTTCTGAGTAAATTTAGAAAGTGTTTTCTGCATCCACACAAAAGGGTGTGAAGAGCCTGCGTGTGGGGTCTTCATTGTGATTACAGGCAGTCATTTTCACACATCTATCTTTGGAGTTATTAGTTTTTTCCTTATTAGAAAATCTAAGGTTAGCTAGACCCCAGTTGCAAAACATAAGTCAGAAGAAGCAGCAGCTTGATAATATGAGGCAATACTTAATCATTTCAATATGCACATTAATAGTTTTTACACACTTCTTAAAACCAGAGAGCCGAGACAAGAGTCTGCAAGGAAAAACATGTAATTAAACATTTTTTGTCTTCCGTAAAACTTCGTCACTGTGTAACATTTTATTGTTACTCTTTGCAATCACCTGTTCCCTCTCCCCCTCCTCCCCCTATTTAGAATCCTTAGTTTGAAGTCTGAGAATTTTTTAATGACCTAATTGTAAAGTGTTTTCTTATATTTAAGGACAGAGAATAGTCAGTATTTTATACTTTTTTTAAAAATATATGGATGTAGATACGGACTTAAGCTCCCACATCAATCAGCATTTTTGGAAATTTGTGAAAAGCACTGTCTAGGCACTCTAAGCATTGAATTCCAACATACATGTCAATGCCAACCTATTAACATAAGTTTTCAAAACTACTTTTTGTAGAACAAACCAATTTTATGGTGCTTTATGAACAAAGAACTCAAGAATTCAAATATTCCTTGAATGACCAATTCCTCCCTCCCTCTCTCTCTCCGGTTTTGTTTTCTGGAGAGAGAACTAAGTACTGGAGTGCCCCCCACTCCAGTACCTAGTTTAGTGCCCTAAATTCTTTATTGACTTAATTAAATGAACAAGTTGGACCCAATTCCAGCAGCCCGGTTCTCCTCGGCCCTTTGCCATCCTCTGGCATGCCCGGCTTTCCCTGCACGGGACTGTCCTGTTCCCCGCCAGCCCCGGTGGCAGGAGCGCCGAGGGCGGAGCCGGCGGGAGGGAACCCGAGCTCCTCCAGCGACCAGCGTCGGGGCCAGGCTTGGCCCGGGGCCAGGAGGCGGAGGTAGGCGGACGGCACCGCGCGGCAGTGCACGCGAGAGATAAGCCAGCCCCAAGGTCGCTGGGAGGGGAGCTGCGGCAGCGAGGGGAGGCCCGCGGTTCACCTGGGAGCAGGTCGCGCAGAGCCCGCGTGTCCGCGGGGAGCTCGGGGCGCTGCGGGGCCGGTATCAGCGGGCCTGGGGAGCACGCACCGGTGGGTGGCGTGGCCCCGAAACCCTCCGCCGATTCTGGCGGGTGAAGACCGAAACCTCTGACTTCTCAGCCGTCGCCACCCCAGTTTCTCCAGGTTCCAATTCAGCCTCTAAGTCGCAGCTGCTGGAAAAACTACTCGGAGGAGAGCATCTGCCCCTCGACTGGCTTCCTTGAGGTGATGGGGCTTGCTTAGGGCCGCAGAGGCGCCGGGGACTGCCCCAGCCCGCCCGGGGAGAGTGCTGGCAAGTGCGGGAGACCCCGCCGTCGGCGCTGCCAGGGCGAGGGCGCGGGGCTGGGCTGCTAGTTACGAGGCCCCTGCGGCTGCCTGCGTTGATTTCGCCAGAATCCCGCGCTCTCTTCCCAGCCACTAGGTTTTTCAAGACTTATTCCCAGCATCCCTTCCTCTTTGCAAGTTTCTCTTTGCAAACTTCTAATTCTGTTTCACAAGGCGCCCCGCCAAGGCTGGTGAGAACTGCAGGTGCAGGTCCTGAGCGCTGCGTTCCGGCCTGGAAGAGCACACTGGCAGGGCTGGGGTCAGAGCGGCCTTGTGGCCCTGTGGCCCCCATGCTCCCGTCGTGGATATCAGGACTAGGGGCTGGAATAGTCTTATTGCACTTCGTGCAGAAACTCCTGTTCCCTTACTTCTGGAACGACTTCTGGTTTCTGCTGAAGGTGGTGCTCTGTGGAGTTCGGTTAGAGCTGTACAGTCGGAAAGGGGAGCTGGTCACCGTCCTGGATAAATTTCTGAGCCATGCCAAGAAGCAGCCCCAGAAACCTTTCATCATCTATGAGGGAGACATCTACACCTATGAGGATGTGGACAAACGGAGCAGCAGAGTGGCCCATGTCTTTCTGAACCATTCCATGCTGAAAAGGGGGGACACCGTGGCTCTGTTGATGAGCAATGAACCCGACTTTGTCCACGTGTGGTTCGGACTCACCAAGCTGGGCTGCGTGGTGGCCTTCCTCAACTCCAACGTTCGCTCCAGCTCCCTCCTGCACTGCATCCGCAGCTGTGAGCCTCGGGCCCTCGTGGTGGGCGCAGGTAGAGTATGGGGTGCCCTGTGCTGCAGGATGTCAGCCCTGCCTGTGCTCCACACCCCGTCCCCTTTTTTGTTAGAACAGTGCACAGCTAATACTTTGGGTGTGTGATGAAGTTTGCATGTTACAAAATAATTTTACAATTCTACCACTGGCGGTTTAATAACCCCTCTCCCACTTTGACCACTTACTCTGTTTTAGGTTAGTAAATATCAAGACAGTTTCAGAAAACTTATGAAATCTCTGCTTCTAACTGTTTTGGGAAGAGGGCAATTTTACTGCTGTTTATTATCGCTTCATTGAGTACAAGAACAGAGACTCAGAAGTCGGCCAGTTCTAGATTTTATCAGATCTTACCAAAGTATTTGATGAGTAAGAAAGTTATCTTGATTTCATTGTGGAACACCTACCTGCCTCTTATAGTGACACTATCGCAGAACAAATATTTTTAATCTGAAGTGCATGAATTCCTATCTTCATGTCTACTCTTATTTTGCACGCCTGCAAGCTAGGATTTGCCTAGCCAGGTTGGGCACCCGCCTCCCAGTCAGTGGGCGGGTTCTTGGCAGACTCTAGGCCTCTTTCTCTTCCCCTTTGCCCTCATTTGTACATTTCCTTTTCTTTTTCTTTTTTTTGAAAACTGGCAAGCACAAGTTTATTTTTATTTGTATTTTTTTAATTGAATTTATTGGGGCAACATTGGTTAATAAAATTACGTAGGTTGCAGGTGTACAATTCTATCACACACCATCTCTATGCTGTATTGTGTGCTCACCACCCCAAGTCAAGTCTCCTTCCATCACCATTTATCCCCCTTTACCCTCTTCTGCCTCCCCCAACCTCCTTTTCCCTCTGGTCATCACCATACTGTTGTCTGTGAGTTTTGTTTGTCTAATTCCTTAACCTTTTTCATCCAGCCTCTGACAGCTGTCAGTCTGTTTTCTATGAGTCTGTTTCTATTTTGTTTGTTAATTTATTTTTTTTATTAGATTCCACATATGAGTGAAATCATATGGTATTTGTCTTCTCCTGACTGGCTTGTTTCACTTAGCATAATGCTCTCCAGGTCCATCCATGCTGTCACAAAGGATAAGATTTTCTTCTTTTTTAAAACCGAATAGTATTCCATTGTGTAAAAGTACCACAGCTTGCTGTCTTTTAGTAAATTCTAACCTCCTTTCCCCTCCTCTTGGACTCAGGCTTTGCATATATATGTTGACACTGAACTAAGAAGAAAAGTCTTTGGTCGAGTGCCTAATTACCAAGGAACCTAGGAAGATGGGTTGCATGACTAAGTAACATCGAAGTATGAAAAATGATACTAATTCTCTGAACTGTAGCAATAAGTAGGATAAATGAGTCACACAATTTTGATAACAGGGTAAAACAAAGTTTACCACTTGTGCAGGTGCAAACGATAATGGGATTGTGCAGCAGGAAAGCAAATATCACAGTTCATCTCTGGATATGCTCTGATGTATTTCACTTCCCATGTTATTGGTCATTCTAATCTAGATTGCAATTTCTGTAGCGAATCTAAACCTCAAATTATGCTAAAACTTGATAAAGCCATAAATTCACTTTAGAAAAGCAGCCACAGTATCCCTGAAACAATTTTTGTAGCCATGATGTTAAGGCCAACCTGAGAAACATCCCTAGCCAGTCTCCCAAAGGCCTCTTAACATGGCATAGGCCTGGTTACCTCTCAAAATAGAATATTCAAACTTTGCTCTTGATAGTTGTTACTTTATTTGGACTAATTAGTTTTACTTGTGCCTGCTTTTCTTTTGCTTGCCAATAACTAATTTCATTATTTCCTTGTTTTTGTTTTGAACACTAACAGTCATTTTTTTCTATATAAAAGCTACTTTGGGATGCTGGAGTTTTAAGCCAGAATCATTAAGTCGGTAGCTGGAGAAATCAAACCTTAAATCTTACTAATGGTTCTTTTTAGAATACCTCCAAAATATATAAATTACATATGCTTTTCAAAGTGGGACGATTCTATTTTAATTACTTGATACTTTTTGTAAGACATAGCTTAGATTACAGTCACTTTTCTGTATTTGAAGCTCTTACCCTGAAATGCTGTATTCTTGGCATCTTAAGTCTAATCAGTGAACAATATATATATATAGTTTTTGGAATAAATGTCAGAGGTCTTAGATTCTCATTGGATATTTCTGATGGAGATGTACAGTTTAGTCATTATATCCCCAGGGAGAGTAAGTGTATGGAGGTGGAAAGGCCAATCAAATGGTTTAGACAGAAGTAAGCCAGACAGACTTGGACTTCATTTATGGCCTGCCACTTCGATGCATGGTTGAAGATAAAATCAGCTGCTCTGGGTTCATTTGCTTAGTTTTAAGATGGTGATAATACCATCTACTTCACAGTGTCATTCTGAAAATTAAGTGACATAGCTTTTGTAAGTGGCTAGCTGAGCGCCTGGTATGCACTAACTAGATCCTGGGTGAATTGAAATAATTGCTCTTATTATTACAGAGTCATCTGAGACTTTTGATAAGGGATCTCATTTGGATTTTGCTGCTACAACCTAATTTGGTGTTAGCTATAAGAAAGACTATTAAGGAATTTGTTTGGAATAGGACCTTGAACACTTTATTTTGGCATGTTTTAGCAAACTTTTGTTTTGCAGACAGGCCAGGTAGGGCCCATGGTGATAGGTGAAGTTTCAGACATGGCAAGTATCTAATAATTCTGTCTCCACAAACAAGTCAAAGGAAAAGGCAAGTGTTATTTTTGCTATTATTGTCATTAACAGAAAATATTAGCAGTTGCATTTACTCAAGGCTGACCCTGTAAAAGGCACTCCTAGTGATTCTGAGAGGCAGATGCAGAGGTGTATTTTGGAGATTGAGAGAGAAAGAAATTCACCTAGGTGACTAATATGACACAATTTAGTAAGTTCCAGATCAAAACCTGGTCCCTGATGTAAGACTCCTTTGTACTGTACAGTCCAATTGTTTCTGGGGCTGTCAATCCCCTTATGATATAACTATGAAAAATATGTGCATTTCAGTTATGCAAAAATACTAAAGTAAAAGTTGCAACTATTAAAACATCAGGTTTTTTTAACAGAGATAAGAAAAAAATTGAAATGTTTATAAAATTAGTATCCCTTACTTTCATAGAAGACTCAAAAATACTTGCAAAGAAGTTTTATATCTGTGTGACTTGGTTTAGAAGATGTGTCAAGCAGCATTTCAAATTTCCCTGGAAAATGTCAGTGTTTATTGAAAATTAAATAGTCTTAGATTAAACCTACTTCTTTCCCCTCTGATTTCAACTCTGATTATTATTGCTAATAATGCCTGCTGCCAACGTTGTCATCTATCTATATATTCTTTTCTCTCTCCTTAGAACAAACAGGAAATGTCATGATGCTTGTATAGCATTTGAAAAAGTATATGTAATTACAACCTTTGATATATTTAGCAATAATAATACCCTCTTTCATTTTTAAAGTACTTTACAAATTTCATTGTTTTTCCATGGGTTATCTTATGTGATCCTCGCCACAGCCATAGCCTCGTTTCAAAGGTGAGGAAGGCATAGAGTGGGCCCGTGATCCGCTCTAGCTCCTGCATCCAGGAGGGGCAGCGTGGGGACGCAGCCCAGAGGTTCGGGTGCTACCTTACGAAAGCTTGTCGGGTGCGTGTCTGTCTTTGTCCTGCTTCCTACTCCTTTTTATTCCCTCATCTCCAGCTTTCTCCCTTTTCTCCCCTTTCCTTACCGCCCCCTCACAATGTTCCTTTCCTTCCCTCTCACCTTCCGTCTGTCCATCTACCTGCGTTCAGCACCTTTTACACCTCAGGCGGGTGCGCTGTGACTCAGCAGCTCAACGGAATGGGAAATGTGTATTAGCCGATTCACAAATAGATACTTGCGTGGCTTGGAGGAGTAAGCCAAGAACTCGGATGTAAGCTCCTTGAGCTGGGGACGTTTGTTTTGTTCACTGATACGCTCTCAGAATTCAGCACAAAGGCGATGCTCAATAACTATTCATTGCCTGGATGAATGAACGACCTAACGAAAAGCTTTCAGGTATATACGGGCATCCAGGAACTTTTTTTACTCACAAACTTTTGCTAATAAATTGTCCCTCTGCTGTCCATTTGGTAACTGATTTTGGGAGTAGCTGTATCGATGGAATTTCTTTGTTGTGTTATTTCAAATCAGTGTTGCTATGTGCTAAAATCATGACACCCCAAAAGTACAGTGCTTTAGACACACTAAGCATCCACAAGACCTCAGATTTACTTGCAGGTATATACTTTGCTCTCCTCTGTCATTATATCACATATTAAATCATTATAATTATAAATATATTGACTAAAATTATGTTCATATTGCCCTGAAGTCTTTTACTTTAGATTCAAGTGTATTTTGTGTCTCAGTATGTTTAGAAGGGTTTTGGATTCCTGTTCACAAGAAGTAAAAATCCTGTGTCAGCTCAATAAACTTAACATAATGCATGCAGCCCTGCCCTGTTAGTTTTCATGAACTGTTGCATTCAGAATGTGCAGGGCAAATGTTCCAGTTAACAATCGAGCCATTGTAATTCTACAAATGACTTGCAACCATAAAGGCATCTGCTTTTTAAAGACCAAGAGGAAGAGTTAGAGGAAAAATAAAAACCCTTTAAGTTTTATAGAAAGCAGTATGTATTCAGATAGATTAAGTGGCTTACGTGAACTTCGATTATTTTATCCATGTACTGTGATATACTGAAATAAATCTATTTTACTTTTCAGGGAATTTTTATATTTATACTTATACTTGGTAAATGAATAGTTGTTTTGCCTTTTTTTACATTTTAGACTCAGCTAGGTCAAGAATTACCTCCATTCCAAAAGAACACAGCTCATTTGATAGAAAGTTTAAGCGACTTCATGGTTCACAAGCTGGCAAAGGCAGTGTTCTAAGCACTGGTGATGTACCGTTTATTCTTTTTTTTTAAAATTTATCTTTATTGTTGAA